TCTCCCCCCCCCCATTCTAGGAACAGCAAAGCCTAGAGGGTCACCTCCCAGATGAGTGCTTTGTAACCTGTGAGGGTGACGCTGTACCATGGGAGCAGACGCCGTCATGTCCTAAGTCTTTTTCCAGGCAATGGCAATGTTTTTAGAATACATACTGGATGAGAGCAGAGACAATACTTCGTCTGGCTGCAGGTCCTGCTATACTTTAACTTCATACTATGAATGAGAAATAACGATAAAATATGCCATTTTGATCCCATGTAACTATAAACACACAAGCACATGTAAACCTGTGTATACCTAGCCACATACATATTTTCTTTAGTTTAAACTGGAAACAATAAGACCCTTTAAAAAGCTCTTTGGCTTTTTTAGGTGGATCCCTGGGAGTGGGGCTGGGCCAAACAGCACACAGGTAGGGAATAGCTGTCTGAGTGGTTGTGCCCACAGGGCTCCTCAGAGCAGAGGGTAGCAGCCATATGGCCCAAGTGTCAGAACAGGAAAAGCAGACACAGTACAAGAAAGAAAACATGGCTGTCACCGGGAACTAGAGCTGAAGCTAGGTTTGGAAGCATGTTTCTCTAGGAAGGAAAGCAGCATAAGGCAGCTAGCTGCTCCTCAGCCAGAGACTGCTGGAGAACATGATACCCAGTTCTGGAAGGGAGCATAAAGTGGGCAGAGAAAGCAATGTCTGTGGCATGGAAGGAACAAAGCCTATCAGGAGGGGGTGAGATTCAGGACTGGGCAGGGAGGACAGTAATGGAGAAACGGAACAGCAGGAAGTGCTGGAATAGACAGATAAAGTCTTGAACATAGGGAACCTCAGATCATAGTCCTTCTATTCCATAAGGACACCAAATGCAAGGACCTTTAGAATAAGGGAGCCAGGACTGGAGAGGCTCAGCAGTGGGGGCACTGGCTTCACTTCCAGAGGACATGGGTTCAATTCCCAGCACCTACGAGGTAGCCCACAACTGCCTGTAACACCTTCACACAGGCAAAACACCAATGCACATAAAATTAAACAAACATATAAGAAGCCAAAGTGTTGCCCTCTCGACAGTGGTAGCCACTGTCAAGGGACTGTCAAAGGATACGATGGCCAGACTGTGGGACATCCGAGTACAGTTTAGAGGAGTTATAGGTACGTAGAAGGTTGCTGGCCCATGGCGAGGAGAACAGTCTTCTCAGCAGAAAACAGGGGCCAGGCAATGGTGGTGCACACATTTTAATCCCAACACTCGGGAGGCAGAGGCAAGCAGATCTGAGTTTGAAGCCAGCCTGGTCCACAGTGTGAGTTCCAGGATAGCCAGGGTTGCACAGAGAAACTGACTCAGAAAAAACAAAAAACAGGCTAAACTAAAAGGGCCCAACCAACATGCCTGTCCAGGAAGAGGGTGCTTCAAGAGCAGAGATGTCTCTGCTGCTCCTCTAGACAGAGATTAATGGCGCAGAATGATTTCCCCACCCAACATTGGGGGTTTCTGACAGGTGTCTGGTGAACGGCCAGAAAGGAAGTTTCCTGAGAAGGGGAAGCACCACCAACCACATTCACCTGAGGCTGACTCAGCAGTGTTCATCCAGGAGGGCAGCTCGGAGATGGTCTCTGGTGGTATCACTCTAGGGGACCAGGGCTACCAAGAGTGAAGGGGTGAGGGAATCCGCACACCAACTCCCCTTACTGGCCACCAAATGGAAGGTGGTGTTAGTCAGTGTTCTGCTGTGAAGAGACATCAAAACCATGACAACTCTTACAAAGGAAAACACTTACTTTGGGGATGGTTTATGGTTTCAGAGGCTCAGTCCATTATCATGGTGGGAGCATGGATGGCACACATGGCTCCAGAGTGGCAGCTGAGAGTTACATCCTGATTTACAGGCAGCAAGCAGAGAGGTTGGACCGGGCATGGTCTTTTGAAATTCCAAAGGCCACCTCCAGGGGCATGCTTCCTCCAACAAGACAACAGCTCTTAATGCTTCTAAGCCTTTCAAAGAATCCCAGTCCCTCATGACTAAGCATTCAAATATATGAGCCTATAAAAACAGGGCTGTTTTTAGTCAAACTACCATAGGTGGAAGGACAAGGGAAGGAGCTACTTATAGTGCAGGCCTGTACTGAGGAGACAACACACACTTGCAAGGAGAGTCTCTGCCATGAGAGATGTAGTTACAGGGCAGGAGGGGCAGAAAAGGAAGGTATTGCTTCCCTCTGACAATTCCACAGCTGATCCCTGCAGTAACCAGTGAGTGTAGTCATTGTTAGGTGAATCAACATGTTTCCTGGCTGGCCATTACTGGGCGACACTTACAGAAATAAAATCAATCATCTAGAAAAAACTGAGTTACTTTAGGACTAGGACCCAATCTATCTTGGTTATTCAAATTATAGTGGAGCTATACAAATGGCTTGGCTCTTGCAAACAATCCACCACCCAGTTAATCTTACCACCACCACCACCACCACCCCTCCCCCCCCCAATGAAACAAAAGGCTCGATTCTGTCTGGTCTCCAGAGGTCATCACAGGTGCTGGGGTTAAGAGGAAAATGGTAATGCCATGCTCAGAAATACTTCAATTGTCCCTCCAGCTCATCCACTGTTTTTGTCCACTTTAGCAGTGCCCAGAACCTGTGTGTCCATGTCCATGAACACCGTCTTATTTAGGGATCAGCCCACTTGTTCTCTGACACCCCAACCAGCCATGAGTCTCAGCCCTAACTGTTGCCTGCAAAAACATGCCTACCATTTCGCTAGTGTGGTGTGAGGGTCCAGAGCTGAGCAATTCCACAGAGAGCACTTCTCTCCTGTACCCTGCACAGCCCCTACAGTCACCCACGAAACTCCCAGCTCAGTCTCAGTTCAAATTCTCCACAGCAAACCAAGCACAGTGTCTTTACTAACGGAGTCTTACCATCTAGTTCTGATGAGCAACTAGCAGCACTGGCAACAGAGTGCTGTTTGGGGGCTGTTCTCCACAAGCAACTCCAAGAAAGGCAGCCCACCTGTGGCACTGAATTTTCACCAACATACCTCCTGCAAACACTTCCCATACACAGGGTGATTCATTCAAACCCTTCAACCATGTTTTAACATCTATAGGCACGGGCTATTGGGATTTTTTTTTCTCACTTAAATTACATGCATACGTGTGTCTTATATGGGGTTATGTGCATAAGTGCAAGGATCTGTGGAAGCCAGGTGGCAGAACCTTGGGTCTGGAGTTACAACCATTTGCAAGCCAACTGACTTGAGTGCTGGGAACCAAACTAGGGTCCTCTGCAAGAGCAATATGCTGTGGACTGCTAAGCCATCTCTCTAGTGTCAAGGGTTTTCTCATTTACTTTGCATCACTTGTGTTGTAGGTGTAAATAAGAATGGCCACCACAGGCTCATACATTTGAATGCTTAGGCATCAGGGTGTGGACTGAGAATTAGAATGATTAGGTCTGGCCTTGTTGGAGCAAGTATGTCACTGAGGTGGGCTTTTAGGTTTCAAAAGCCTACACCAGACCCAGTGTCTCTCCTGCTGCCTGTGGATCAAGATGTAGAACTCTCAACTACTTCTCTAGCACCATGTCTGCCTGTATGAGGCCATGCCCCTGGTCATGATGATAACGGACTAATAATAAACCTCTGAAATTGTAAGTCATCCCCAATTAAATGGTTTCTTTCACAGAGTTGTCATGGTCGTAGTCTCTTCACAGAAACAGAACAGACTAATTCCAAGAACTTCCCATGTGCCTGCCCTGGTCACATGTGTACCTCCCCTCTGGTCGTCACTCTTTCAGCTCACACAGATGCTTTACTAACTCTGTGGAACACTCACAGGCTAGCATTATGTCAGCGGTGACACCTTTTTACACGGGGGTCTCAGGATCACAGTTGGACTCAGGAGCTAGAAGGCAATAAATAAATTAACAAGACCCAACTTGCCACTTGTACCAAACATTTGTACCGTTTCTTCAATGATCAACACTGAGCTGAGGGTACAGCTCAGTTGCTAGCGTGCTGTGTGCCTTTTCACCAGGCTTGGATGGGAAGAGCTGGTTCTGGTCCTAACTGACCTAGAGCCTAGACATGCAACCCCACAGCTCCCTGGCTTCAACAGTCCCTGGAAGCAAGACATACAACACTGTTGCTGCTTCACCTGGTGCCTCCAGCCACTGACAGTGCTAACAATCACACAAGCCTTGTAAGGGTGTAACTGGCCACCTCCTGAAAACTTGGGACTTTCTCAGCTACCCCGTCCTATTAAATAAACATCTGCTTAAGGTTGAAGCCTCAAGAGGCAGGCCATTTGCTATCAGTCTCCTGGATGGGGCTACTGTTCAGGCCTCATCTACATGCTCTATTCTGAGCTTTTGATTCCTATTAAGGTCAGACCTCACTCTTCCTCCTTGCTGTTTAATTCTTCCCATGGGTTCCAGGTTTGGGATCTCAAGAACTGGGTGTTTAATCATCTCTCCCATCTCATTTCTTTTCTCTGTACCTTTCCTGCCAATATGCAGCTAACACAGGAGAGTCCCTGCATGTCTCTCCTTGTTGCAATGGCTGCACATTTGGGTAAGCTCCTGCTGTTCTGACACCTCGGCCTGCTACATGCCCCACTGCCTGCAACAAGGAGCGTGAATCTGATGGCAGTGTGTCCCACAGATGCACCTGGCAGGACTGTAAGATTCTCTAGCCTTTTCAGCCATAAAGGGAAGCGTCCCTGTCCCTCTGAACCACTTCATCTTTTCATAGAAATGTGCTGCACTACACCCAAGTAGCAATGGGAGCTGTGAAGCTGGCAACACAGCAGGAAGGCCTGCCCTTCCATGGCACTTTGGAATAGAATAAGTTGGTTGGGCTTACTGCCTTGGATGAAGCATCCTCAAAAGGTACCCCGCAGTGCTGTGACCACGCACCTCAGAGCCAAGGCAAGTGTTCCTGCTGTGCACAGGTCCAGGCAGTCTCAGCTTCATTCCCTGTGGCTGGGATAAAATACCTTCACCAAAGCAATGTAGGGGAGATGGTTTATTTCAGTTCACAGTTCCAGGTTACAATCCATTACTGTGGGCCAGTGATGGTGGCAGGAGTTGACATAGCAGGTCACACTGTATCCATAGTCCCAAGGCAGACAGCAAGGAATGCCTGTACTCAGCTCCTTCTATCCTTTGTTCATAAAATAGTGCCAACAGCATTCAGCATTCTTCCTACCTCAATTAACCCAAGGAAGGAAACCCCTTACAGCTAGGCCCAAAGCTAACCTAACCTAGATAATTCAGCATTGAGATCCTTCCCCCAGACGGTTCCAGACTGTATCAAGTTGACAAATGAAGCAAACCACAATCCCAACACAGAAAGCATTTGAAGCCACAGCCTCCCCTCCTCCATGTTTCACACTGATGCAAATTCAGCACAACTTTAAAAGAAGGTTTATTAGTCCCAGACAGGGTAACAAAGACAGCGACAAAGAATGATTCTACCCAAGTGTGGCTTGAGGGAGCTCTGAGTTTAATTGAGGGTATTTACAAGAACCCAGGCAAATCATGGGCAGCCACTGCAATGGAAACATCCATCTCCCAGCACCCACTAAGCTCCCACACTTCTTACGCTGACAGAACTCCCCACCATCCATCACCTTAAGTTTCTGAAAGAACTGTGACCTTGGAGGCCTCACAGCTTTTATTGTTACTTGGAAAACTATTTCCAGTATGAGTTCATTTACGGGATCTAAGGGAGCAATGATAGCTAAAGGTTTTAAAACACATTCAAATTTTCTCTCCATCATGAGATTTCATTCATGTTACTGAAAGGACCTGTGACACCTGAAGTCTTTTCCACATTGCTTATATTCCTGTGGTTTTTTCACCACTGAGTTCTTTAATGACTTTAAGGCAAACAGGGATAAAAGAAAGATTAACCATATCCTGTACATTCATCGGGCATCTGACCAGCATGAATTAATTTACTTCTCTGGAAAGAAGTATGACAGTGACACCACATTAGTAATAAATATAAACTTTGTCCAGCATGAATTCCTTCATGGATCTGAAGGACACCATGGCCCTTGAAAGGCTATGCCACACAGTTTACATATAAAAAGCTCATCCCTGTCTTGAGTTCCTGACTGTGTTTTATGTGGATGGGGATATTTTGTAACATCGTTTACATTCAAAGGGTTTGTTGCCAGTATCTGTTCTTTCATTCATTTGAAGGAAATGGGGATAAAGGAATTAGATATTGTTGACATTCATATGGGTTTTCCACTCCATGAACAGACTGATGTCTCTTAAAGGAACTATGCCGACTGAAGGATCTGCCACACTGAACACACTGATATGGCTTCTCTCCAGTATGTCGTCTTTCATGTGATCGAAGGTAAGAGCGATGTGTGAAGGTTTTACCACATTCTTTACATTCATAGGGTTTTTCTCCAGTGTGGCTTCTTTCATGAAATCGAAGATAATTGTAACTTGAAAAGGCTTTGCCACAGTGTTTACACTCGTAGGGTTTCTCTCCGGTGTGTGTTCTTTCATGCAATCGGAGTGAAGACTGACATCTGAAGGCTTTCCTACACAGCTGACACTCATAGGGCTTTTCGCCTGTGTGAGTTCTTTCATGCACTTGAAGTAAAGAGGGGTAAATGAAGGATTTACCACACTCTTTACACTCATACAATGTTTCTCCACCATGAGTTATTTTATGTCTATGATAAGAAGCCTGACACCTGAAGGCCTTTCCACACTCCTGGCATTCATAGGGTTTTTCTCCGGTGTGAATTTTTTCATGTAACTTCAGAGAAGTTAGCCATCTGAAGGCTTTCCCACATTCTTTACACTCATAGGGCTTTTCTCCAGTGTGAATTCTTTTATGTAACTTAAGGGTCCTGTGACTTCTAAAGAATTTACCACACTGTTTACATTCATAGGGCTTTTCTCCAGTATGAATTCTTTCATGTAACTTGAGGGCCCTGCTATATCTAAAGGTTTTCCCACATTGTTTACACTCACAGGGTCTTTCCTCAGTATGAATTCTTTCATGTAATTGGAGGGCACTGAGATATGTGAAGGCTCTGCCACACTGTTTACATTCATAGGGCTTTTCTCCCGTATGAATTCTCTCATGCAAATGAAGGGCGCTGAGACCTCGAAAGGCTTTCCCACAGTCTTTGCACTCATAGGGTTTTTCTCCAGTATGAATTCTTTCATGTAACTGGAGGGCACTGGGATACCTAAAGGCTTTCCCACACTCTTGACACACATAGAGTTTTTTCCCAGTAGGATTTTTTTCTTGTTTTTGAAGGGAACTGGAAGTGTTATCACACTGATTACCGTCATAATCATTTTCGTCAGTCTGGCTTCCTCCAACTTCCTTGTAGTCATAGTTATGATGTCCATTATAAGTTAGGTGATAGAGTCCAAAGGTCTTTAAACAAACCTCACACACAGAAGGTCCACTCGAAGTCTGAGTTTCCGTGCATCCTTCAACACTTGTAAGAAAATTAGAGTCCTGTGGCTTCTGTTCAAATTCCTCATGTTCATACTGCGTACATTCAGAGCGAGAGTCGATGTGCCTATTAAAAATGAATGACACGTGAAAATTTCTCCACCCACATTGCTGCTCGTATTGCTCATATGAATAAGGTTGCTCCACCCTGAGCACCTTCTTCATTACCACAGAGTACCTTTAAATGTAACTACTGTGAGAGACGACAAGCACATTAGTGACAGTCGTTTTTACTACTGTTTGCTTATTAGACCATCTTTCTTGGACAGTCTGCTACCCAAAACAGCAAAATGTGTGCCTTCATATGAAAGTTCTGAAAATAAATGGACTGATGGCTCTACAGTATGGTTCCCATAGGCCTAGGATCAAAATAGTAGCATTCGTCAATGCAGGGTCCCAAAATGGTTCTGAAACACAATGCGAAATCGAAAACTTATGAAGGTACACATTTGAGGTAAAAATTTTCTACAGATGAATAATTTTGAAGTTGGGCTCATTTGTTTTATTAGTTTGTTCTTGAATTTTGAGGGCACATTAAAATGTCTTGGAGGGACACCGACTCCCACTTGTGCATGCAAATTACCTTAGATTTATTTCAGGGTCTTCACAATGTTCTCCAACTGTCTGGTCTTCCCATTCATACCCTGAAACATAGCCACAGAAAACGTGACAAGTCATCACAACGCACAATCACAACTACGCCTAATTTCTTCACCACATTCCTCCCTTTCCACAGCCAAACTTCAGCCACCATCAATAACCAGGAACACTTGCTCTCTAATTTATGGAATGAAGGTAAGGCAATGCCCTCACCTATGGCAGTGAAGTTCCTGCAGGTTTCCAGCATCACGTCTCCATAGAGACTCTTCTGGGAAGCATCCAGCAAATCCCACTCTTCCTGGGTGAAGTGCACAGCCACGTCCTCAAAGCTCACCAGATCCTAAAATATCCCACATTTGCAGATGAAAGGGGGGAGAAAAACACATGTGTGCACATCTGACAGTGTAACTGTGTGGTTCCCAGGAGTGCTAGTAAAAGCACTGAGCAATGTCCAGAGACGGCAGGCAGATCCCCTCCTCATGGCTGCACTGGGGAGATGCGCTGCCTCCCCACCCATTCTCCTCCTCCAGCCATCCCCACCTCTCGTCCCAGGCACCCACACCCTATCATCTCATTAACATTAGGCTCAGGAGGCTGTCTGTCCTTGGAATTCATGCTCAGGGTTTTGCCTCTGCTGGCCTAATGGTCAACATCCTGTCTAAGAGACTGCACATGAACATAAATGCTAAGGGTAAATGACTCAGCATGATAGTTCTGAACGCTCCTGTTTCCCGTTTGACAGTCTGTTAATCACATCCAAACTCAGAGACATCTCGAGGATCAGATACAGCCTCCCAAAAGTGTCTATGGACTATGTGACGACAGCTTCTCTGCCTGTCTCCAAATGTTAAACTTCTGTATAAAAATGATGCCTGCCCCTGGCAGAGGATGTACTCTATCCTTTGCTCAAACTATTCCAATTTCACTTCTATTTGTCTCCACTCAGTCTTATCCCTATCTCATTTCTCTTTTCAAAGTTCCAGCAAAGGACTTCCTCTCCTCAACACACCTGGTTGCCATACAAATGTACCCATTAATGCCCCAGATTGGAGGTGCCCCAGACAGGCCCAAGGAGGGGTACACCAACTGTTACACTGGACCTCACTTTAGACAACCTCAAAGAAAGCCAGATACACTATTGTCCCAAATCCTATTCAGGGGAGGAAGGAGGGGAACAGGAGACAAAGAAATGATAGAGGCAGTTTAGTGATAGGAGCTTTGTGTCCTTGAGCATGAACCGTAGATGTCCTTGCTTCTGCATTGGTTTAGAGGCCAGAAATGCCAAAATATTTGAGGGCTCTGATCCTGGCTCTGGTTCCTAAATGATTCCTCACAGGAGGGAACATCACAGAAGCACTGAAGCACAATTAAAGAGCTGGTTCCTTCTAGTCAAATGAAATCTAACTCTGGGTGAAGAAATGCCATTGTGTCTGCCCTTAAGAGTTAATACAGGGGGCTGGAGAGATGCCTCAGAGGTTAAGAGCATTGACTGCTCTTCTAGAGGTCCTGAGTTCAATTCCCAGCAACCACATGGTGGCTCACAACCATCTATCATGAGATCTGGTGCCCTCTTCTGGCCAGCAGGCTGATATGTAGACAGAAGACTATACATAATAAATAAATCTTAAAAAAATAAATAAATACTGGCTAGGTCCATACCCAGGATTCCCAGAGAATGGCCACAAATTACATTAGACAGATGCTTATAAAGGCAAAACCCACGAGGCTACGTACTTCCTGCCTTTGTCCAATGGGGGCAAGCACACATCCTGACATGCTTCCTGCCTATATACCTCTCTCCTGTGTGGAATCAAGCACATCCTGTGCAGCGGGGCCAACCAACCTTATTTATAGAAGTGAAAACACGTGGCCTGTCAGCTTACATGAACAACAGCTGACACCAGCCATCTCTCCAGCCCATATAATTTTTTGTTGTTGTTTTTGTTTTTGTTTTTCAGACAGGGTTTCTCTGTATTGCTTTGGAGACTGTTGTGGAACTCCCTCTGTAGACCAGGCTGGCCTCAAACTCACAAGAGACCCACCTGCCTCTGCCTCCCCAGTGCTGGGATTAAAGCATGCTCCACCAACTCTTGGCCCCTGGCCAGTATATAATAAAGCTTGCTTTGAGTTTGGCTCAAAAAAAAAAAAAATGTGGTAATGGTATTACTTTTGCTGAGTGAGGATCAACAACCCCAAGAAAAGACCCCAATTTTCCTGGTAACATCTAGCAACTATGGCATTACTTATTGGTGCAAACATGCTGTTCTAGTCATTATTTCAGGCCTTCGATTGGTGAAGAAAATGGAAAAAGTATCTTATTATTACATGGCTTATATGTGCAAACTATAAAACAGAAAATGGCTATTTAAAAGTAGTATTTCAACAGAGGAGAGGCTACCTTAAATGATTTTATTTATTTATTATGTGTTCAACATTCTGCTTCCATGTATTTCTGCACACCAGAAGAGGGCACCAGATCTCATAACGGATGGTTGTGAGCCACCATGTGGTTGCTGGGAATTGAACTCAGGACCTCTGGAAGAACAGTCAGTGCTCTTAACCTCTGAGCCATCTCTCCAGCCCTGATGACTGTCTTATATGCCACCCGATAGCCCTCATCCAGCAGCTGGTGGAAGTAGAAGCAGACACCCACAACTACTCACTGAACTGAACTGGAATCCAGATGCAGAGAAGGACCACTGAAGAGCAAAAGGGTCCAAACCAGGCTGGTGAAACCTACAGAAACAGCTGAACTGAACATCAGAGAACTCTTGCTCCCCAGACTGATAGCTGGAATACCAGCATGGGACGGATCCAGACCCCATGAACATAGGTTTCAGTGAGGAACCCTCGGAAATCTACAGGACCTCCTGTAGTAGTTCAGTACTTATCCCTAGCATAGGTGTGGACTTTGGGAGCCCTTTCCACTTGGAGGAATACTTCCTGAGCCAAGCCTAGGCCCTACCGCAAAGGATACGATAGATTCTGATAACACCCTATGGAAGGCCTCACCATCCAGGGGGAGCAGAAAGGATATGTGATAGGTAGGCTTTTAGTTGGGGGAGGTGGTGGTAGGGGAGTATGGGAGGGACAAGGGAACTGGGACTGTCATGTAAAACAATCTTGTTTCTAATTCAAATTTTTAAAAAACCTGCAAAATAAATAGATAAAAGTAGTATTTCAGGTGCACTCATAAGCAAAGGAGGAGACATAGGTGGCCACTGAACAAGTCAGGATTCTCTAGCAGAGTAAGAATTAATATATACCACAACAAATATATATTAGATTGGCTTACCTGATCCGGCCTGGACAGGCCAACAATGACCATCTCCATGATGCAGAGGCTTCAATCTGGTGCCAAAGGCCCAGCGCACACCTGGACAGCTTCTGGTCTTCAGTTCCCAAGAAGCTAGGTTCCAGTGTCGGTGAAGGATGATGATGGTGGTGGTGGTGGCGGCAGCGGCAATGGGACAGACCCACTCACCAGCAAGAGAAGGCAGGCAGGAAAGCAACACTGTTTCTTCTTTGGACTTCTCTGTACCAAGGCCACACTCAAAGAGTCACCCTCTATACAACAGGGTCTTCTCAACTCAGTTAATCCTTCCTGAACTTCCCTGGCAGACCTGCAGAGACAGGCCTCTTAGTTGATTACATAAAGCAAAAGTTTGTATCTAAGGGTTTGAAGTGGTTAGCTCTGGTTTTACTATTCTCAGCTTTTCAGCAATACTTTATTACATGCATCATAGGAATGGGCACCTTTCCAGGAGCCCTCTGAAGGCCAGTGACAATGCTCCACATTTATCTTTATGTTGTCCATGTTTTCAAGTCTTGACTCAATCCCCAGAACTCCAAAAGAAAAATTCTGAAATCATGCAACGTAACAAATCAGCAGGTTAGATCCCAAAAAGTCATATGATACCAACAACTACGAGCAGGGACATTGGGAAATAAATGCAGAGACGTTGAGATCAAGAAGAAAAGAAATTTCCATACAGAAAATCCACAAAAACTTGAGGAACTACTAAAGGACTACTGAAAAGTTTTGAGACATCAAAGTACAAAAGACCATCATTGGTGGTGCACGCCTTTAATCCTAGCACTGGGGAGGCAGAGGCAGGCGGATCTCTGTGAGCTCGAAGCCAGCCTGGTCTCCAGAGCGAGTGCCAGGATAGGCTCCAAAGCAACACAGAGAAACCCTGTCTCAAAGAAAAAAAAAAACAAAAAAAACAAAAAAAAAACCATCATTTTCCATAACAGCAGTGAACAACTGGATGTGCAAACACAAATTCTACATCATGTGTATAGCACCTCACACTAGAAAGAGGGTAGGTAAGAGAAAAGCCTTTGGACAAGAACCAAACATTTCTAATGAGGGAAAACCAAAAGTTGCCATCACAGAGGATGGTAAGCCTCAGCATCGTAAGGCATTATGTTTCTTCTCTATAAACACCCTCTTCATAACGTTCATAGCCAGATTATGTTATAACCAGAGCCAATCCCACAGGTTACATGGAAAGAGTGAAGAGAAAAAAAAAAAAAAAAGTTCAAACACAACTCTGAAGAAAGAGTAAACAAACAAACACTACCTGACTTAAGAAGTCCTATAAAACTACCAAAATCATGACCATGCACTTACATTTGGTAAGCAATGAACAGATCACTGAAGCAGAAAACCTAGAAACAAACCCACAAAAATAGACCCAATTTTAGACAAAAGAGAGAAAGAGCTGTGCTGTTCACAAAACAAAATCAACTCCCTTAGCTCTTAGGGAAATGCTAAACTGCTTTGAAACTCTATGTCACACCAGCCAGAAACAAGGAAACAAGTAACAACAAATGCTGGTGAAGATGCAGACAAAGGGAGCCTTATCCACTGCTGGTAAGAACGGAAACTACTGTAACCCGCATGAAGTAAGTGGGATGTTTCTCAACATTAAAAATAGATCGTATATTTGGGTAGAAGCTCACTATATCAAGTGAGCTTGGGTCTATATACCCAACTCTTTTAAAAGTGTAATGGTTAATTTTTGTTCACTTGACACAGACCTGAGTCACCTAGAAAGGGGTAACCTCAACTGAGAAACTGCCTCCATCGGACTGGACTGTTAGCATATCTTGGTCAGTGATTAATGGCAAGTTTCCAACCTGCTGTTGCCCATGGGCAGCTGAGCAAGTCAGGAAAGAAACACAGTATGGAGCACTCCTCTAGGCCTCTGCTTCACTCCTGGGTCCTGCCTTGACTTCCCTCGATGAGTGTGCTGAGTTACACCCTTTCTTCTCCTGGCTGGTTTTGGTCAATGTTTTGTCACCACCAACAGAAAAGTACATTGGGACAATTATTGTTATCATATTGCTTCAACGAGCATTGACCACACTATTGGGGGAGCACTGTAAATGGATTTTAAAGTTTGGGGCTAGAAAAGGCCATCAGTGCTCAGAGCTAAAACAGCCATTCTGATCCAGGTGGTGATGGCACAAACCTTTAGTTCCAGCACTTGGGAGGCAGAGGCAGGTGGATCTCTAAGTTCAAGGCCTCTACAGAGTGAATTCCAAGCCAACCAGGGCTACATTGTGACACCCAATCTATATTTTAACAAATCTATAAAAACAAACAAAAAGAGTTGGAAAAAATCATAAAATTGGCAGGAATCCTGAGACCTTTACCAATTTTTATCAAAATATCTGGAGCTGGAGAGATGGCACAGAAATTAAGAGCACTTGCTCTGGCAGAGGAGTCTGGCTCAGTCCCAGCACCCCATGATGGCTGACAACCATCTGGAACTCCGGTCCAATGGTATCTGACGCACCCCTCCTAACTTCCATGAGCACCAGACACACAGAGGGCACACACATACATACAACAAAACACTGCTACATCTAAATCCAAACTTTTTTAAAATTATAAAAACATTAATAACATCACAAATAGAGAGATTTTGAGGTAGAAACTGTAACCCTGAAGACACGGTGGCACATGCCTGTAATTCCAGCTATGAGGAAGCAGACACAGGAGGTGTGTTGCAACTTCAAGGCCAGCAATGCAACCTATAAATTCTAGGTCAGCCTGGGTTACAAAGTAAGACCAAGAAAACAAAAAATAAATAAGTAGATAAAAAATGAAATTGGAAACATCTCAAATATTATCTCTCTCTCTCTCTCTTTTTTTTTTTTTTTTTGGTTTTTAAAGACAGGGTTTCTCTGAGGCTTTGGAGCCTTTCCTGGAACTAGCTCTTGTAGACCAGGCTGGTCTCGAACTCACAGAGATCCGCCTGCCTCTGCCTCCCAAGTGCTGGGAAAAAGGCGTGCGCCACCAACACCCGGCTTTCACATATTATCTCTATAACAAAAGAAAACTTAGGAAATAATTTCATCTTGCTAACATAGTAGGTGTCCATGTGGCTTGTCCATGCAACCCTAGTTTCATGAACTCTCCTGTCCGCTGTACAACTCTCATAGCCCAATCCTACCACCATGCTTGAACTCCTCACCCCCAATTCTTCCTGTTTTCTTCTCACATGTGCTACAATTTTCCCTCGAGGCCCTTTTTCCCTACAAGTGATGACACACCAACCTACGGGTGTGAAGCTAGCACCCATGGGAGAGAGAATGCAGGGTGTTCATCCTCTCAGCCCAGGGTTATCAGCTCATTCTGTATTTTTAATCCAGTTTCATCCACTAACCTGCAAGTTTCAGAATTTCTTCTTCACAGAAGCCCATTATGTATGTACATTTTTCTTATCCACTGACCAGCTGATGGTGTCTAGGCTGCCCTCATTTCCCAGTTACTACAGATAAGAGTGACAATGAAAACAGCTGTGTGAGTACCTCCTGCAGTAAGATCAGGCATGCTTATAGCTATAGTCATGTATGAGTTACAAGGAAGAGACCCTACATAAATGATGCTTCTAAAAGCCAATGGTTACTAAGCCGTAACTTGAGTACAGGAGTGAGTTACCGCCGTATTTTATTAGCTATTAGTCAGGGAGGCCCCAGAAGTCGCCCAAATAATATACCCTCTTCTGCTCCTCTTGGCTGCCCACCAGAGCTGGTTGTTATTGCTGAAGACACCATACACACTGTTACAATGCAGCAAGAAATCAAACTGGAATTGAGCTAAAAGCTTCCTCCTGTTGGCTGACTTTCACAGTTCCCAAAGGTGCAATGCAAGCTGCTGAAGACTTATGACCCAAAATGTCTTACCCAGCTGTGTGACCTCTACAACATACAATACCAAGCTCCCAAGCAAGGTATGCCACCTATACAGGAGTGGTATAACCACTCCAAGGACAACCCCAGACTGCTCTCTAATTGGATCTGAGGCTCACTCCATAAGAGAAGCCATGCAGGCACAGTTAACACAGCCAAAACCCCATGTCTGAGACGGGAGGGCTGAACTTAGCACTACTATTTAGCTAAATTGTCCCAGCATCCAGTTACCTTCTAAATACTGTTGATACTGTTTATACCCACAGACAAATGCTACTGCCAGTCTAAATCACAGAAGCCTCTTCGCAGAGATCACAGAGATGCACAGCCACTCAAGGTGATAAGAGCAGACACCTGAGTGCTCAGCCACAAACAGGGAATTATACCACCACTTCTAAGGCTCAGAGATCACTGTAGAAGGGGCATAAAGAAAGAAGGGCCCAGCAGGGCAGTGGTGGCGCACGCCTTTAACCCCAGCACTCGGGAGGCAGAGGCAGGTGGGTCTCTGTGAGTGAGTTCCAGGCCAGCCTGCTCTACAGAGTGAGTTTTAGGACAGTCTCCAAAACAATACAGAGAAACCCTGTCTCAAAAAAAAAAAAAAAAAAAAGGAAGGTAGGCAGGCAGGCAGGCAGTGGTGGCGCACACCTTTAGTCCCAGCACTGAGGAGGCAGGGGCAGGCGGATCTCAGTGAGTATAAGGCCAACCTGGACTACACCTGTCTCAAAAAGACAAACAAAAAGGCCCAGAAGATAGCAAGATGGGATGTGAAATGCTGATTTCTGGACTTGGGAGAGCTAATGCTGTTCCAACTTGACAACAGCCATGGGTTTCTGCGATGGACCTAACCATCATGAATCAGTGGTTACCCCTCCTTGAAGTATGATTACTGAGGGACTCTGGAGGAGCAAGTCACTGTCTTCAATTGTGTGCCCACTGAGGTGACCACCAAGCCCAATGGACAGGTTCACCCATGGCTACACAGATGATCCTGGTTAAAACCGTGGGCCTCAAAACAAAAAGGGGGGTGGGGACATGGATATATCAAAGGGAATTATAAGCAGGAGTTGACTAAAGAGGGTAAAAGGGAAATTAGGGAGTGGGACATGACAATAATCAGAACATTGTTTATATATGAAATTATTAAATCATGTCCCAGTGCATGCCTGTTATTCATTATCCACAGAAAATCCCAAGAACTAACAAAAACTCAGAGAATTAATCAGATACTACAGCAAACTTGTAGCAAACAGGATTAGTATACAAAATTCCATTTTCCTGTATGTCAGCAATAAACAACAGGTTGTGAAAATAAAAACATTACACTGCTTCTATACCAAGGAGAAAGACACAGAAAGAAATACATATAAATATGTACGGAAATAGAGGCAGGAGAATCAGGAGTTCAGGATCATTCTTGCCTATACAAGATCCTACCTCAAAAAATACATGCTAATTAATTAAAAGAAAAGTAAGACTGGAGAGGTGGCTCCGTGGTTTAGAATACAGCTGTTCTTCCAGAGGACTTGGGTTCAACTCCGAGCACACAGGACAGTTCATAATCATTCACAACTTTCAGGAGATCTGATGCCCTCTGCTAGCCTCTGTAGGCACTAGGCATGCAAGCAGTGCACCAGATATACATGGAAGCAAAACATTCATACACATAAAAGTTGCTGGACAGTGGTGCTGCACGCCTTTAATCTGAGTTGAGGCCATTCTGGTCTACAGAGCAGTTTCCAGGACAGCCACTGTTACACAGTGAAAAATGTAGCTAATGTCCATAGTTCTTTGTTATTTTATTTGTTTGTATTTGTCTTTCTCCTTTATGGTCTAGAAGCAGTGTAATGTTTTTATTTACACAACCTGTTGTTTATTGCTGACATACAGGAAAATGGAATTTTGTATACTGATCCTGTATCCTTCAGATACTAATTAATTCCTTGAGTTTCTGTTAGTTCTTGGGCTTTTCTGTGGGCAGTAATTGATATCTTCTGAATCTCAATAGCTTTCTGACCTTTTCTCGATATATGGCATACTTTTGTTGTTGTCCCCCTCCCCAAAGTGTTGGCATGATCATATAATTTTTCTTTACTGTGGATATAGTGGATTATACTGGCTGTTAATTTTTCCTTTTTGAGTGTGGGAATTAGTATGTGCTTTACCAGTGAGATTCATGAACAGCCTCAGTCTTGAGGTTTCTGTTGGTCCTACATACCTGCCTTAACTTCCACTTGACCATGATACAATAGTTTGGGGTTTGTTTTTATTTATAAATTTATTTTTGACAGTTTTTACTTTTTACTGTATTGGTATGAGTGTTTTGCCTGCAGTGTATCTGCACACCATCTGTGAGCCAGGTGTTCAAGGAGAACAGAACAGGGTGTTGCATGGAGCTATAGATGGTTGGGATCCACCGTATGGGCACTAGGAATTGAACTTGGGTCCTTTGAAAGGGCAGCCAGTGCTCTGAACTGAGCCAGCTCTCCAGCCCCAATTTTTACAATTTAAAAAATTCTAAATTAATTTTTAACCTTATTTTATTTACCTTTGTCTTTTTGAAACAGCGTTTCTCTGTGCAGTACTAGATATCCTGGAACTTACTCTGTAGACCTAGCTGCCTTGAACTCAGAGATCTGCCTGCCTCTGCTTCCGAGTGCTTCCATTAAAGGTGTGCACCACCAACTGGCTAACTGCAAATTTCTAATAAAAATAATCTTACTTACTAACAGGAGAACTACTGCGGAATTGCAGACAGACAATTGAGCTCAGGCTGTGCCTTGCTCAATGTCACTCCACACTGGAAGTCAGGCTGAGAGACTCCATTTTACAAGCAGTTTCTGATTCCATTTTGAGGGAAGAGAACTGACTATAGCCCCTGGGTAGATGTAAAAACTCTGACATCTGATTACCCATGCAGCACAGACTAGGAAACAGCTTATTCCTGGGAGTAGAAAAGGAGAAAATTATCTAGTTTGTTGAGACTACGGGAAAGGTGGGCATATTAAAATCCTATCATTCCATTGGGAGGCAGAGGCAGGTGGATTTCTGTAAATTCAAGGCCAGCACACTGAAGTTCCAAGGCAGCCGGGACCACAGTGAGACCCTATCTCAAAATAAAAAAACAAATAAAAAATCCTTAGGCATGATGGCAGATCCCTTTTATCTCAGCACTTGATAGAGGCATGTGAATTTCTCAGTCAAGGCCAGGGCAGCCTGGTCTACACAGGAAGTTCCAGGTCAGCCACTGCTGTGTAATGAGACCCTGTCAAAATATGTATGTATGTACAATGTGTGTGTGTGTGTGTGTGTGTGTGTGTGTGTTTATAATATTTTTTGAAGCGGATGCAATTCCCTTGCTTGGCCTCAGAAAGTGATGGACATCTCCCCTGAAACCAGCCTATCATCTGATACCTGACTGTCCCTGCAGCTTCAGCTCAGCTGGGTCCCTGTCTGTCCACTGAGACCAGGAGCACACATCAGACCCCAGTCTGCCGTTCATCTGACAGCTGGAACACCGACAACCATAACTACACTTTCAAACCTGACTCTTCCCAGACTTCAAAGTTCCCTCTGGGGCTCACTGATCATGAGTTCTAATTTATCTTTATCAACTGACACACTACATTTCTCTCAGCCAACTTCTTGGACCCTTTTAACTCTGCTGCAGCCTCTTTATCTTATATGCATTCTATAAACAGCATATGTGCATATACCTATATATTTACTGTTATGAAGTTAATATTAGTAATTACAATTTGCAAAAAAGAACCTGCCTTAGCCTCACCCAGATTATACTGTTTTTGGCACATGACAGCCACAAGCTTAAAATGTCAGTCCCCAGTTTCAATTATAGACTTAAATAATCCCAATAAAAATGTTTTAAAATCCCTTGTAAGTAACAGAAAGCAATTACTAAAGATTATATACAAATATTTTTTAAAAAGAATGGCCGGGCGGTGGTGGTGCACGCCTTTGATCCCAGCACTCGGGAGGCAGAGGCAGGCGGATCTCTGTGAGTTCGAGGCCAGCCTGATCTACAAGAGCTAGTTCCAGGACAGCCTCCAAAGCCACAGAGAAACCCTGTCTCAAAAAACCAAAAAATAAAATAAAAATAAAAATAAAAAAGAACGGTCAGCACTACAGATGAACCCACAGCACACACTTAACAATCCCAATGAAATACACAAGACAACGCACTATTTAGGATGAATAAAAAGACCCACAAACCAACTAAAAAATAAGGAAACAAACTGACCTTTGATAAAAAGTAGCAAAGGGAATCCACTGATCAGTCTTTCCTAGAACTGTTTCTGGGACACCATTCTTAAGATACTTTGGACAAAGACTCAGAAAATTTCACAAAATTAACTCAGAGTTGATCCTAGACCTGAATGTGAACTACAAAGTCCAGAACGTCTAGACCACAGTGCACAGAGCACAGCAGTAAGTGCGACACCAAA